TTTTGTTTTTTCCCCTTGTTAGTATATTTAAAAATACGAATTATCAAGAGGTTGAGTCAGGATATTTTTTTGGATTAAGCCAGTCACTTTTTTTCTTAGGTTTACATGTTTACTATTTTACTCCAAGGTATGTCCACATCTGGGAAATCATTCAACTGATAGAAATGTTATTAGGAAACCCTGGCATGAAAAATTTTAGTTGAACACAGAGAAAATACAAATAAGCCTCGTATGAAAGAAAGACACTGTAGACTACCAGTATCTTTCTATTTATCTAAAAGAATGGAGGGGGAGACATTAGGGTAGTTTTTCAAGGACTTGCAGACAAAAAATAAAATCATCTTAGTAATCATGTTTTATAGTGCAGTGCAAATAGAAAATTCTGCTTGTTTACTAAATGCCCTTTTAAGTATCAGGCCATTTAACTGCTGAGATGAATTGGGTGAGAAAAATATATCCTTTTGGTAAAGGATTCTCCCCGAATCATATTCTGTAATTTGGCTTGGGATGCATTATGTATAAATGATGACTCAGCTACTTTCTTTGGCATTCCGTATGACAGGAAACAGCCACATGGGGGTATTTCAATTAAGTTTAAATAAAATAAAGAGTTTAGTTTCTCAGTTGTGCTCGCCACATCTGAAGTGCTCAGTGGGCACATGTGGCTAACAGCACAGTATGGGACAGTGCTGGTGAGGAACATTCCCACTATCCCAGAAAGTTCTTTTTGGCAGCACTTAGTTAGCTAGTGATGATTTTGATTATCCAGAAGATCACTTTTATTCCTCTGGGAAAACAAAATAATTAAATCTCGTCACAGACAGACACCTAAGACATAGGAAATAAGACAGACTGGCTTTATCAGTATATATTTTCCACTGTACAGAATGCACAATGCCACTTCCCTAAGAGCAATGATATACCAAGATTACACACACTTATTTCTCAAAATTTCTTCCCCAAACTGTAGTTGTCCTTTTTACTTTGCTGATCCAGCACCAGCTGTTATTGCTGGAAAGCGCCAACTCTTTCAAAGACAAGGGACGTGGCGCCATCTGCTGTTCATTGCAGGAACTGCAGGAAAGTTGTAGATTAAACCAATGCGTAATGTCAACATGTTCTGTGATCGGTTCCCACACTGCAAAGATTTATCTCATAGAGAAGTTTTAAATGATTATCCCAGCCCATTTAGAGTTTCCATGTACTGAAGTATCATTTTGTGTTTTAATAAACTACTAGCAAGATATCCTTAAGACAAAAGATGACAAGTTTTAGCTTTGTTTATCTTCCAGGGAAACCAGATAATAGTTATCTGAGTCAGAATCCTCTCCTTCCATCAATTAGAAATTAGTAGATACTTTTTTTTAAAGTAACATCTAGGAGAAATCAATAAAAATACAAAATACTTTTTGTATAGAAGCCTATATAAAAATAAGAAAATAATACCACCATTTCATTATTATGGAGAAAAATTGGACCTTCTTTCCTCAAAAATACTGATTTTTCTCCCTTGACTTTGAAATCTACTCAGCATTTGGGGCTCCTTTCCAAAGAATGTACTCGTCTGGAAATTACTTACCTTTTGTTCAGATGCCAGAGAAGTGAGTTGATATGAGTTGTTGGTTTTGTATGTTTGTACTCTCTACATAATACCTATTTTTTTCAAGGAAGTGAATAGAGGTGTAGGATATCTACAGTTCTCAGGGCTGTTGCTAGAGATCTCTGCTTTTAGATTTTCCTTGCTGAGGAAAGACTTGAGAAGATAATCTTTTAGACATTTTCAAGCTCATATAAGCCATATTTTAGGGAGTGTCAAAAACTTAACTTTGACTTTCACCCTGGTCCAAATCTGTAGTTAGATATACTCTGGAGTAAAGCTGAAATCTATGAAGTCTTTCTCATTCAGATCTCTGGAACCTCAAATGTAAATAGGAAGACGATATATCTCACCCAAGTGCAAAGTTCCTTTAGGATCTAGATGGATTATTGGGGAACTAGTAATTCCAGGATATTAAATTAAGCCACTCCTCACTAAACAAACATGCTATCAGAGTTCAGCTGTGATAGGGAGGCCTTCCTCCACCTCAGTGGGGTTTTTTTTTTTGTTTTTGTTTTTTAATTGGAACATATGCTCAGCATTTGAACAGAAGCTAAAAGATAGTGATCAATATAAAGGCATTGGATTTATTAAGTCTTTGGGGGAAAAAAGCAACACTTTTTCTTTGACTCCTGCCTTTTCTATCTCATTCACTTGAGGGTAAAGGGAATGCTGACTCGACCTTTTGGGAGAGATTTACAATGCAACTATAGCAGATGTTGAAGGATGGCTTTTGATTTAGTCCCCACACCCATCTTTTCCTAGAGCTCTTTTCCAATCCAAATTGTCACCTGAAACCACCTTATTCTGGTGCACCTGCCTCATCATAAATAACGTTGTGCAAAAGCAGCCGCTAATTCAAACACAGTCTGCTGTTGAGAAAAAAGCAGCTTTTCATCTGGTGCTTTAGTCGGATTGAAACCATTAGGCAAGCCTTTCAAATCTATTCATCCCGTAAATCACCCGGAGCTGGCTTCCTTGCTGTTGGATCAATGTCAGGCGGAACTTTTTCAGGGTCCTTGGGAGAACATGATATATCTTTGTGACTGAATTAGCTGCCCCTGTAAGATACCTGGTCTGTCAACCAACTCTCCAGCTTACCAAATTGATTTTTAAAAAGAACATTCATCTTGTCTACCTGGATTGGATGTATCTTTTACTTCCCTCAGGGAAGTCTTCTGGCAGGACCTGTAATCCGCATGCTAATTTTGGTGTTGCTAAACTTTCTTCTAGCCTGGTTCCTTGTTTAAAAAACCAAAATTTGTTTTCCATTGTCTCATTATGTCCTCTCTATCCCAAAGGGCTGCTCCAATATAGGAGGGGGAAAGTCTATTTAAATATCTCTACCCAAACCAAAAGCAATGTCTCTTCTTTTTAATATTCTCCAACTCCATGTGATTGATACTGCGTAAAAATACAGCATTCCTTCATTTTGAAGGAGGAGTCTGGAATGTGGTAGACCAAGGTTCCCTGCAGAGCCACCACGTTCTCCTCATTTGAGCCAGAGTAGATAAATAACTAGATTCTGTACATGTGCCCACACACGTGCGTCCCAACCTGGGGTCTGAGCTCCCTGAAAGTATATGCATTTCTTATGGGGAGAGATGTATGATTTCCCCCAGAAAAGTTAAGAGCCACTGACCAGATAGACTATATTCTGAGTTTCCAAGAGCTGGTTTGCAAATGAAATTTAGTAAGGTGAGCATTACTTGGGAGATTAACCTGCCCTCTGCCTTATCTTATTGGCAGCGATTTGAATAAAGCCAATAGCTTAACTTGTTCAAGTGTCAATCATAAATCTCTCCTTTTTTTTTTTCCCAAAGGAATTAACTGCTTCGAAGTTTGACTTAACAGTTAAATTAATGCCAGTTTTTAACTTCATGCTGTCACACATTCTAATTTTGGGAAGGAGTCTATTTTTCCTAAACAAGAATTTTGGTTACTAGGTCCCCATGGGTAGGTACATTGGGTTGGACAAAATATGTGCTACAGAAGAATGGCTGACCATGGAGAAGTTGATTTTGAGGTTATGTTGGAAAGGTGCAGAGGAGTATATTGAGAGCTCACAGGACCCCAGGAAATATTAACTGTGAGAGCTGTAAAGAAGTTCGCTGCAGATAAGAAGTCAGAACTACAGTGACACTGGAAAAAAGAAAGGGACGCTATGAGATAGGAGCCTTACACTTAGCCCTTCTTCCACTAGGAAACCATTAGCAAATTAGTCCTCGAGTTGATAGTACCCAGGGATAAACAGTTCTCTGGATCCTTATGTCCAGTACTTGGGTTTTATATTTGTCCTCTTAAACAAGAATGAAGCCAGTATTTAATCTTCTGAATCTTTTCACTTTCAGAAGCGAAGCAGGTAGAACTCGAAGTCCGGGATGTGAAATTCGAGTAATACTGAACAACAGTAGCTCTTATGTGGGTGAGACTTGGGGAGAAAAAAAGTATAGTATGTTTACTTCTTAGGTATTTAAAAATACACTTCACAAACAGCACCTTCTGTACCATTCCGCTGACCTTCCTCCTTGTTTATCAAAGGCATCTATTACACTGGGCAACTGATCTTCCCAGGAGATGTCTAGGCAGGCCACTTGTTGGAGATTATCCAGAAGTGGGGGGTGAATACTCTGATGCATGATCTTTCTTTTGGTCTTTTGTCTCATTAACATTTTTTACTGGAAATCTAGAGAGTTCACACAAGCAAATATTTCTTTATTTCATTGACTCTAAGATGCCATCCATTGTAAGATGCTCTTTTATTTCACATATCACTAAAAAAAGACTTAAACATGTTTTCTTATCGTTTGACTATTTATGTCCAACCGAGTTTCAAAGACACTAAAATAAAAGAAATGCATATTAGGATCTCTGAAATCTTTATTTAGATGGGATTGTGTTTTGATTGCAAAGATCAGTAGCTTAAGCTCTTTTGTTGATAGTATTGCTTTGTAAGAAGAGTGCTTAATGGCTGTAATACATCCTTGGAGCCAGGATTTATGTAGAACATGTAAAATATATAAATTTCTCAAATAGCCTACAATTTGGGGGATACTGACAGGCTTTTCTTTTCATGGTTAAACGTTAGAAGTTCAAAGAAGACCACTTGCAGTGAAACGATGTGGTGTAATAACTTTTGAACTTGACATCTGAAGACCTGGGTTTGAAGCCCTGCCCTTTCTGCCCCTTATCTGATGTATAACCCCAGGCTAGTTATTACAGGTTTTCTGAACCTTAGCTTCTCATGCAGTCAAAACAGTGGGGATGCCTGCCAAACAGGGTGGGTTGTAGAATCCAAAAAGGCATCTGTAGGTGGTAAACTTGACACAGATGGAGCGCTGTGGACATTCTCAAAGCCTTCCCCATCATGCTTCTCAGGTGAGTGGCCTTGCGGGGGAATCAGAGAAGCAAAGAACAGTGGGACTGGAGACCTTTTCCTACACACAGGATCCCATAGTAGAGGAATGCACAGCTGAGGAAGCAGGGAGGCCTAAGGAGTTGTAAGATGCTGTCTTGAATACCTGGCGAGGTAGAAAATATGACCGCTGTGCATAAAGAAGGGGCTGGAGTCTCTTGGAATGGCTTGAATCTCAGCAGTTGCTCTGCACGTTCAACAATCAAGGTGGCTCATGGGAAAATCAGGTCAGCTGATTCGCGACAGAACTTTGGGCTAGTTTCAGAGAAGCACCTGTGACATACTCTCTTCTTCAAATTGATTTTTAAGTATAATAAGCTACAACCCCAATTAACTTACCCCAACCTCCATTTGGTTTCCATTGCTATTTGTAGTATTTTTGTCAGGCGCCTGGTTGGAGGGGGTTTTCTAAGTGTTGAGATTTTGTACCTCTTCAGACACGTTCTGTGTGCGACACATTGCCAAGGGACACTAAAATAGCCTTTTGCCATTGCTCTGCTAAGGCCTTACGAAGAACTCTTGCTATAAGGAGAATTGGTAGTTTTGTTAGAATTCCAGAAGGGGTAAACGAAATTGGAAGTAATTTTCCAGATGAAGGACCTCCTGGGGTGGGGGTTGCAGGGCAAATGACCTTCCAAAGTGTTCATGGCTGTTCAGCACCAGATTAGCACTTCACTAAATCTGAGTCCTTGTCTAGGTCGCAGGCTTTGTCTGCTTAATGGGAGCACATAACTAACATGTGCAAGGACTTGGTGGCTTTTGGTGCCGAGTGACACCTGACTGTTTTATGGGTTAATTCTTAATGTTAACAAACCGAAGGTAGCGGGGTGCAAGACTTTTTGGATGCTACTTTCCCTAAATGCTGTTTTCACCTGCCAGGTCGGCTGTATCGTGGATGTGTATGTGTTTTTATCCCAACACTGCACCCTTGGCCGCCTCCTGCCAGGCACCTGCACACGTTGTGAGGCTGTGGCCCATTCTCTGGCGTTGGAACAGATGCCCTAGCAGTGAGGGATGTGCTTTCTGAGGCAGGGCTCCACACCCCTGCCCCATCCGGGTGCAGATGACTTTCACATCTTGAAAAGAAGGACTAGCCCAGGTTGTATCCTCCTGCAGCCTCTGCACACCCTGTCCCTGTCAGCCCAAGGCTGGAGTTTGGCTTCCGCTCATGGTGTGGTTTCTGACACCCTCCGTCTGGGCAGCTCCTGAATGCCTCCATTGTCAGATGCGCTCCCAGAACAGGGGTCTGTTCTCAGGGCCGGGAGCTCTGCCCTTAGGAACCCAAGTCATGACCTACTAACCTCTGGCCTCTGCTGAGCACCTGCGACAAGACTCTGTGAGCTGCACACTCACGGGCGGAGAGGCCTGGCGCCGTGCTCCTGTTCTCCACACCAGGGGCCTTCCCAGCCTGTGTGTTTACTGAGAACTCTGGCTCCCTAGAGCTCCTCACCCCCACAGGAATTTAACACAAAGGGTTGAAAACCAACAGCATCCCCATCTCCCAAGGGAAGCTCAGGAGTCAGCATTCCATCTCTTAACACACACTCACATCCGTGGGCACACACACTGTGCTCTACTGTGCACTTCCATTCTAGGCCTCTTCGACTGTTTCACTCGGTCAACTTTGGCTTCAGTTGTCTCCTAATCTATGCCCATTGCTAGTCTGATATTTCTCAAGTGTTGGGTCCTACTTCCTGATGAACTTTGAAGGCTTACACATGTCCTCCTCAGAATACTTGCCCCACAGGCCTAAAGCAGTGACCAAATGGGAAGGATGATATCTAAGTATAGCAGCCAGAGACTCGAATTTAAGTCTATAAATCCTGTGAGCTGAGCATTTTATGGTATTTGATTGAGTGAGATTGGTACTCAAAAGTATGGTAACTCAAAGAGCAGTTTGCTTCTTGACGGATTCTGATATTGTGTCAGAACCTAACCGGTTTTTTTAAAACTGCCTGTTCCTGCCTTACCGTTAAAGCTTGTTAACACTTACTTTTCTTTTGGATTGTATATTACTAACACTGTGCTTTCTCCTTTTTTGTTTACTTTAGGAAAGCATGCCTCAGACGCCTCCCTTTTCAGCCATGTTTGACAGCAGTGGTTATAACCGAAATCTCTATCAGTCTGCAGAGGAGAGCTGCGGGGGGCTGTATTACCATGACAACAACCTCCTCTCCGGATCTCTGGAAGCACTCATCCAGCATTTGGTACCTAATGTGGATTACTATCCAGATGTAGGTATCCGTGTTCCTCTGAAACACATCCTTGGTTTCTAATTCAGCAGAAAGTATGATACAATAGTCGGGACCCTAGATTCTACAAAATTATATCTGGGATGTTAGAGGTTTACCTAATAAGAAATTGCATATGATTATTAACTGCTTTGAGATCAAAGTGTGCCTGGCTAAGATCCCAGTTTTGGTTGTCTGCATACCAGTTTCTTTCCAGGGTTGGTACCACATTGTAGATAGTCAGATACCATCTAAAGGAAGTATCTGCAGGTTTGATTCAGGCATGTGCCTTGGTCCTTAAATAGACATGCCGGAGAATATTGGATGCTCTCAGAATATTGAATGCCTTTGTGTTTCCAAGAGCATCACTATGCTGGGAAAAGTAAAGTCAGAGAAATTTCATAGCAAAGAGAACAAGTGTTATATTCGAGATGCAATTCTTTGTGATTGGACATCAGATGACATGATAGCTTATGTTTTGCTTTGACAAGTGGACATTTCTGTAGATCATACTTTCTAATCTAGGCAACTCATTTACATTTGCTCAACCTTTACAGCAATTCCAAAAGCTAGAGAAGAGAAAACAAATTTGAAATTTGCACACAGCCTCACTCCTGGTATTAGCAATCAAACATGGCTTTTCTAATTATTGGGCAAGTGATATTCCCCCCTTTCTTGGTGCTACAACTGCCCCTGCCAACCAGCAGCTGGTTGTTGATAATAATTTCATGAAAATATGTAGACACTAGATTCATATGCTTTTATAACTAGGGGCCTGGTGCACAAAATTTGTGCACTGCGGGTGGAGGGGTCCCTCAGACCGGCCTGCGCCCTTGCCCTCTCACAGTCTGGGACCCTGCCATCCACAGAGGGAGGCCCAGCCCACCCGCCTCAGTGCTGTCAACCGGGTAGCCTGGGCCTCTCCCCAGCCAGGGCTCTGCTATCGATTGCTCCCCAGAGGGAGACCCTGCACACCCCCACAGCACCACCAGCTAGGTAGCCTGGGCCTCCCTCTTTGGGGTGATTGATTGCAGAGCCCCCTCATCGATCACCTCACCAGCCAGTGGCCTAGGCCTCTCTCTGCGGGGTGATCATGGGGCGATGGTGGGGCCCCCCGACCAATTGCATTGCACCCGCCTTGGCTGGCCTGGTGCCAGTGCATGTCACAGCATGGTCATCCAGACGGTCGTTCTGCTGTTCGACCTTTTGGCCTATTTGCATATTACGCTTTTATTATTATAGATAATGACCTTGGTGAGCAAAGGGTAGAGTGTGCTTGCCTCTGTAACTCAACATAACGTTTCTTACTGAGTTATCTCTCTGTGTGATTTGTTACATAGCATTTTTAAATATGTTGCCACACAGGGAAAACTTATAATCAGAAGTAAAAGCCCTGTAAGTGTTTATGAGCTATTAGAGGCGCCCAAGGTTGGGGAAAAAATCCCATGGGATTTTTTTTTTTCCATTGGGAGTCTGAAACTATTATAACAAATAAGCACTACTTCATTACTGGCTTCTTGGGAGATAATGTGGTTAAAGAAAAGAATATAGTGTGATATTGTATTTTATCAAATTGCTTAGCCTTTGAGCAAGTAAATAGATGACTTGAAGGCCTGCCTTTAGCTCTAACAGAGTGCACAAACACTGCAGTGTGTTACCCTGGGCACCCTGGAGAATTCCTGAGCTGATGTGATTGGCTGTTCTTTTGCTTTCCATTGAGTTACCCTAATATTTGAACACAGAACATGGTTCTGTGTGGGTAGTATATTGTAGTTAGATTTATCTCTCTGGGCTGAATTTCATTCTTTTTTTACTAGAGTGAGTTATATGCCCTGGTGTTCTGGCTCCCAGAGGATAGATGTGAAGATGAGCAGTGGATAATTTCAGTGGCTAAACTTCTCTTGTGCTTCTATTATTTTTAGTATGGTTTAAAGGAAAAAATACATGAAAAGATAAAGGAGACATTCATCTTGTGGTATTTTACGACTAGTAAGCATCACCTTTGAAACTGCAGCATTTAACTTTGATTGAGAGAATGTAATGAAAAAAGATGTGTAATATAGAGGAAAAATATTAGTTTCAGAAGAAATGTAACCATGTGATTTTTTTTCTCTTACCACAGAGAACATACATATTTACCTTTCTACTCAGTTCTCGGTTATTCATGCATCCGTATGAGCTAATGGCCAAAGTTTGCCACTTATGTGTTGAGCACCAGAGACTAAATGACCCAAACAGTGATAAGGTAATTATATGTTCGAACTTTACGATTTTTTTCTATTAAGTTTGGTAACTCTGAGGCTTAGATTTTGTGAAATTGGTTTCCTAGGCTGAGGTACATAAGTGGTATTGTTGCCATGCACAGGGGATTGGGAATGGCATAACGAGCACATTACACATCTCATGGCATGGAACATTCTGGATCCTGCCTTAGGTTGGTGGCACTTTGGATTGACGGGGAAGGAGGAACTAGAGCTTCTTCAATCCCAAAGACTTTGCACTAGAAGTCTGTCAGGGACACTGTTTGTAATTATTTATTTGATGTGGTCCATGGTGATAGACATCACTGAATTAGATTTTGCTTTTTCTCCCTAGAACCAGATAAGAAAAATTGCACCCAAAATCCTTCAACTTCTGACAGAATGGACAGAAACTTTTCCTTATGATTTTCGGGATGAAAGAATGATGAGAAACTTAAAAGACCTGGCTCACAGAATAGCCAGTGGCGAGGAGGTGGGTAACCTGACTGTAGCATGACTGCTTGCATCTCTGGGCAGAGCCTTGGTGAGGAACGATGCTGAACGAGGTATCAGGATCTCCACGGCTTCCTGTTTTTTTTGTTTGTTTGTTTGTTTTGTTTTTTATCTTTGAGCAAGTTCTCTCCATAGCACATCGGTCTGTTTGGGGTGTTAAGTGGGGATGATTATACAATCCCACTTCCAAGGGTATAATCTAGAGCTTTATGTGATCAATTTTGGGGTATGTTCATGTCAATTCATGCACAGGATTCCTGTTGCAAGCATGGGTGTTTTTTGTGTCTTATTTTTTTTTTAAATTCAATTTATTGGGATAACATAAGTTTTAGGGGTACAACTTTGTAATACATCATCTGTATATTTCATACTCACCACCAAACTCTAAGTCTCCTTCCGTCACCTTATATTTGACCCCCTTTATCCTCTTCATCCTCCCCCTCCCCTTGCAGATGTTTTTAATTTGACTGTACACATACTCTTTTTCCTCCAAAAAGGTTTGACATATTAAGATAGATACTAGCTATCATATTGGTAGATATAAACACTAATAGATAGAAAATAACATATTAATATAATAACAGATAGAAGTAGTATATTAATAAATTATAAATAGAAATAGAGATTGTACCATGGAAATGAGAAAACAAATAGGCTAATGTTGAGACCAGTCCAACAGGACAGGTTGCTGTGATTTGAGTGTAAGCTCCAGATAAAAGGGAAAAATACAGTTGGTTATGTAATTTTCACTGTCAGAAAAGAGAAAGCATCCTAATTTTTCAGGGCATTGAGTTAAATGCTATTTTAAAAAACGTTTATATGAGAGACTTTGTACAGGGGGCAATAGAATGAGGTCAGGGAAACCACTCTGTATAGTGTTTATAACAGACACTCCTTGATAAAAATGGAGACCGTAAGATTAATGTGTAAATTAGCAAAGGTGATTCTTTGAGAGGACAAGAGAAGGATCCAGGACGTCAGGAAGTTGATTCAAGGCTAGCACCTACAATAGGTGGAGATGGAAAGTAAGCCTCTTAGAAAATCTTTCATAAATATTGCTTCCCTCAGATGAGCCTTTGATAAGCGCTAACTAGCTGTGACAAATTCAAGGTTATCCTCTTTGAAGCAGGCCTGGAGGGTTGGTATTCTGTGTTGAGGCTTGTTGGGCAAAGATGTCTTTGTAGTTTCTCTGTTGATGGTGAGCTCCTAGGAGCAAGTTACTTAGGCACAGATACAACATTTTCACATAGAAAGAGACAGATGAAGCTCTTGGCTGTTATAGTGATGTCTTGTTTCTTTCATCTTACAATGCATCTCCCATTTACAGTAACCTTCCTTGAGAAATCAGTCTTTCACTGGCATGCTGTTAAGATCATGTAACGAGACACTGTATCTATTCTATTTCTCGTGAACACGTTTTAATACCATTTCTCCTGACTTATAAAAAAATCAGAATAAAATTTTGTAAGATTAGCACTTGAAAAATTTGCACTTGCTTTCCCACATTATGTTCTCCTGAAAACAGAATTAATCCTTCTACTGTTTCCTTATGACATACTAACTCATGCTGAAGACAGCGCTGTTTCCATAAGGCTGAATGAGGGGTTTCCTGAGTCATTTTGCAAGTTACATCTGTTATAATCATTTTGCCAGTTTGTGTGACAGGTTCGAGCGAGGTATGAATTGGTAAGTCCCTCACTCACAAAGGCACACATTTAGCATCACAGTTCACTTTTGTAGTGAATATTTTACTAGAGGCTTGGCTGTTGGGTTGCTTGGTAGGGTCGGTGCAGGCTCAGTGACTTGACTATGACAAGCTGCTCAGAAGGTTAGTGACTTCTCAGGAACTTTTTCTTGTATGAAGGCTGAGCCCTGAGTCCGTCGGTGCTTCCTCCAGGTTACGTGGTGTTTTGAGTTCTTGATATGGCAGTATCTTGAAATGGCTGAAATGGTGACTTGGTCCTTTCCCAAAGGAACACTAATAAAAAGTCAACACTAATAAAAAGTTAGTGGTTTGAAAATGCCAAATGTATGGCTTTTTGTCCTTCTTGTCATGGAAGAAAGGGAAGTGGTTTCTATGTGTGTTGGCCAGGTGGATCTTGTTTTAAACAAAATCAAGCCACTTAGGGGTTGGATGGAACTGTGCAAAGGGCAAACAGCCTTCTGACCTGGCTTCTTACCAGCATTTCTGTGTTAATAACAAATCATTGATAAACCTTTAGATTTGCAGATGCTCTTGAGTGTGAAAAGAGATGAGAGCATAAGCCAAGTCTACAAAGAATTGATTAACCTTGGTGTTGAGTGGAGAGATGTTACCTGCCTTGGTCAGGTCGGGTTTATAGTGAGATTTGTTCCTTCTTTTGCTGTCCAGTATTCAGAATTGGGACCACACTTGGCAGCTGTGTGTGCTTTGGCAAGTCCATAAATTTCTTGCTCCTTCTTCATTTCTATAAATCATAGAGATGACTGTCTGTTAATATCCCTTTCAGCTCTAAAATTTTGGGATGGATGCTCTTTCCTCAGTTCTTTGCTTGGCATGCCACTTACCTGTGTTGTGGTTCGGTGTCCCCCCAACCACAACCACCCTCCCCCCATTATTGGCTTTCACTGTTTTTTTCAAGCAGAATGAATGAACAAATGAACGACTTGTTTCTTATTCAATTACTGGAATAGGAAAAAAATATTTCCCTCTACAGAAAAATTATTTCCCTCCACGGGAAGGAGCATGGGCTGGGGTTGGGACTTGTTGCTTCTTGCCTGGGACTTTACAGATTTTCTTGGCAGTCAGTGAATCCAGGTGTGCCCCATATATACTTTAGTCAGATTTTTTTTTTGAATCTGCTAGGACAGTTCCACATAATTTGGCTTAATATGTTTCCCCCTTGGGGGTTTGCCCAAAATAAAGTGGTTTATTAAGACTTGCCTGCAAGAAACATGAAACAAAACTAATGAATGAATTGTATGACAAATGACTATCGTGGGTAGAATGCAGTTTTCTCTTACAGAGCTGGTCGTTATTCTGTCTTTATTTGCCAGGTAATTACTGTAACTGGCATTTGAAGTTATAAAAAAGAATAAATACATATTTAGCAATTCATGACTCAGTAAGGAAGCATGCTTAACAACACAAAGCTTGGTTTCTCAAGGAAGCAAATGGCAAAAAAAAAAACTTTTAAAGAGGTTATGCACATATATATGTGCTTTCTGCCTCTCAATATCTCTCTCCTACTCACACATGCACACACACACAGAAAGAGTCTAGTTCTTTGTTATTTAAATAGCTTTCTCTCTCGTATATTCTGTTGTATACATTTTCCCCTTATGCTTTGTTGTTTTTGCTCATTAGCTGAATCCTTGACTGTACATTCCACTACCTCTTCCCTAAGAAAGCATTTCCTAAAGTGTAGAATAAGAATCTTTCACCAGGTATGCTAGTGGAGCATTGGTTCTCACACTTTGCTGAATATCAGAATCACCTAGGGAGCATTTATTATGACATTTGAAACAGAAAACTGAAGAAATCATTTTAGGTTCATAAACTTTTATTGTAACTCGATTTTGAAAGAAGAGGGAAGGGAAGAGGGGTTTTATTTTTATTGAGGTATAATTGGCATACAACATCATATTAGTTTCAGGTGTACAACATAATGATTTAAGATTTGTCTGTATTGTGAAATGATGACCACAGTAAGTCTGTCCAATATTCAGAATTGTCACCATACATAGTTACAACATTTTTTTTCTTGTGATAACTTTCCAAGATTTACTCTCTTAGCAACATTCAAATATGTGAAACAAGATTATTAATTATAGTCACCATGCTATACAGTATATCCCCAGGACTTATTTATTTTATAACTGGAAGTTGGTACCTTTTGACCCTCCTCTCATTTTGTGCTCCCTTCCTAACCCCACAGCCCCCAAATGCAAGATTTGAAATAGCCCTTAATTCAGCCTTGAACAGCTTTGAATTTCAAAGAAAGGTGTATTCTTTGTGTGACAAGCATGATAGATGATAGATAGATTAGATAGATGATAGATAGATAGATAGATAGATAGATAGATAGATAGATAGATGGCATCTTCAAAACTGATCATCTTAACGCTGTGGAGAAGATAGATTTTCAAAGGTTCAATTTTGTTAAACAGGCATTTCATTAGTGATTTTAGGGTGGTCTTGAATGTTGAGAGAAAAGAGGGTCATCTAATGGACAGTTTAGAGAACTCAGTGGAATGTATACCAGATAAGTTGAGAAGAAGAAAAGAAAGAGAGATCTGTGTAGGCCTTTTTGCCTTGACTATGTGAGAACTGAACATTTCCAATGTGGTTTTCCTTGGCTTCAGTATGCAACTATCTATTCATTTGAGTTTTTGTAATATGCTCTGGTAACCAGATTGCCTCTGGAAAATAATATGGTTCTTACACTTATAGGTAAGATGCCATTTAATTTTCAGATAACTAATCTCAAGAAATGATTTTGTGGCAAACTTTTAGAAAGGAGCTGATTAGGCAGTGGAATGTAAACAGGCCCTTCTATGTTCAGTTCACTGGGACTCCCCCGTTGGAGCTGCCAACCAAAGGACCACGCTGGTATTGAACTGGCCAGAGTGCCATGCTTTGATAAGGCCTCATAACTTCTCAAGAAGGACAGTTGTTTGGCAATTTGGGGCTGGAAAAGGAAGATTGACATTTATTGATTCTACATGCATTGCTTTAAAAGCCAGTTTCTCTTAAGTGTTGTGGCTGTAGCAAATGCAGTAGCGAACAGGTGGCAGATGGCAGTAGCATTATGGGGAGCATTGCCATGTGAAAGAGTTCGGTTGTGAACTTGAGGACTGATTCCTGAGTACAAAAGAAACGAACATGAGTCAAGTAGAGGTCAGGTAGATAAATGAATATCCACCTCTTCTTAGTGTCACCCACGTTATGTGTGGAAGCCAGGAAGGTGGTTGAGGGGTGAGTGGGAAGTCATGGTGTATTTCTGTCAGGTAGTTGTTCAAGCCCTTGACTAATGAGATTGGAAATGTTAGGCGTGGGGAAATCACAGAGGTGGCTCTAAATAAAAGGTGTTAGGGAAAGGATGCTCTGACTTGAGATCCAAGTATTTTAACACACCAAAATTCAACCAGTACATTCCTATGCAGCCCAGAGAACATTTAGTTATACATGGTGCGTAGTACACTGGATTTCTTCTATAGGTAATCCCAAATGTCACTGTAGTGTTTTCTTGGTCCTATCTACTCTCAAGAGCAGCCCAATGAAAGAACTAAATCTTACAAGCCTGAAAAGATAGCTCTTGTGTATTTGTCTCTTTTAAACTGTTAGAGCTTGGCTGGATTCTCCCGTAACTGCTCTGGGCCAAGATGGTTCTCCACCATCAAATCATTTAAGTCTATAGTCTGTGAGTCTGCATAGCGGTGAAATAGACTTGCAGAGCCAGGATGTAACCAGTTGCTTCTTCCCTTGGCAGACATATAGGAAGAACGTCCAGCAGATGATCCAATGTCTAATCCGCAAGCTTGCTGCCCTCAGCCAGTATGAGGAAGTCCTGGCAAAAATCAGCTCCACATCTACAGACCGGCTCACAGTTATCAGGACCAAGCCACAGTCCATACAAAGGGACATCATCACTGTCTGCAGTGACCCTTACACGTTGGCCCAGCAGCTGACTCACATAGAGCTGGTAAGGTTATTGTCATCCTGCTCTTTGTGGCCACACACTTGCTTTGCTGTGGCAACCAGTGTGTGTGTCAGCAGCAATGTCACAGGAGAGGTTAGAACATTCCAAATGGAAACTAATCTGTGAAATAGCTGGAATGGGTTTTGTTTAGACGTTTGAATATGAATGTTTCTGATATTCTGGGAATTCACTTTAAAGTAAATACTCAGTAAAGACTGAAAGAGCAAAGAGTTTATTGACCTTCCTCCTCTTGCCCCTCTAATTAATTTTCCCATAACTTGTTCAGCTTTTCACTATCTAGTGTAGCATTGACTCAAACAGAAAATTGCCTCTGCTTAGGGTTAAAGGCTCATTTTACAAGCTGCATAAAAAGTGGGGGTAGTGCCAAAAGTCAATAGACAGTTGAAAGTCCATTTCTTCTAATTTTTAAAAATCCTGTTGACCTGCTGGGTTTGTGTTCCAGGAAAGGCTCAATTACATCGGGCCAGAAGAATTTGTTCAGGCATTTGTGCAGAAGGATCCTTTGGACAATGACAAGGTAATCAGCCCACCTAGAGGTCAGCCCTGAAATCAGAAATGGAATCCCTTAGCCTGTGATAGTGGGTATAGGAGACAGAAATTGGAATTATTTGTTTTAGGTTTTAAAATTGAAAGTTTTATTTCATTAGCCTTGTCTGATTCATTGCAGTTTTCTTGAGTCAAGTGCCCAAGTGCCATCACAGTATTCTTACCCTATCACCAACTTTGAGCCTCTTCTTGCTCCTTATTGGGAAATTTAATAAGCAAGTGGATGCAGGCATTTGTGGTGATGAAATGAGGAGACATAAGAGTAATGGTTTTAGCAGATTAAGTGAGAAAGAAAATACTCTGCTCATGATTCAACAATCACAGGGGCAGGAAAGACAGGATGCACATCCAGGCTGCTGAGCAAGGGTGTTTACTGCTTGGCCGCTTGCTTTGAGGTGAATCCCTCATGGATGGTTTGTTGCCTGAGTGAAGCCCACATGGAAGGAAGACAACACTGGGCATGGACTGTACACTCCGTGTACATACATAAGGAATTTTTTCCCCAGGGACCTCCAGAAACATTTCAAATTTTTAGGCAAAGTCTGTATCACCAGCTAATGACACTCTCCTTTGGGAGTCTGGGCAACAGCTGTTTTCCTGCCTTAGAATAGTTTCCTGCAGTACAGGAAGTGAAGATTAGGTTTTGCAATCAATAGAAGGCTAATGGACTTTTTTGGGTATGTGTTTCTTTTGGAAGGAAGGACAGAGGGGTGTAATTAATCTGTACAAGCTTGGCTTTGAACTCTGAGATGAGCTTAACTCCTTTAGTTTTTGAACACTATGTTACTCACCCTCCCAAGGACGATGGTGGTGTAGCCTTCTATTTATGTACTTTGAAAGATAATTAGTGTCTTGCCCCATGATTCTCCAAAATTTTGTCCTAGTTTTTAGAAAAAAATTGGCTAGTCTTTGGCACTCTCAGCTTCTCCTTGCTGTGTTGGGAGCAATTGATATTCACACCCCATGCATCAGGCAAGATGGTCGTAGAATGCAGCCAAACCCTTCTTTTGACTTGTGTTCTGGAGGACAGTTCCCACCCAGAGAAACTTGGTTTCCTGGGAGGAGAGGGCACCATAATGAATGTATCAGAGTATATTTCTAGACCTTAGGGGTTTCGCTGGACTATCTATACTAAGAGGTTCTGATATGTCTATAAAAATAGCCAAGAATGTTAGTCTTTCTCCACCTCTTTTTCTGTCTCTCTTTTCCCATAAAGCTTTCCTAATCCATAAACTGAGAATAAAGTCCCACATATGACAAAAATTAGTGCCTCTTCTTTCCCCCTCCACTTCATCTGCTCATTTTTCTTTCCTTTAGAGTTGTTACAGTGACCGGAAGAAAACACGGAATTTAGAGGCTTATGTGGAATGGTTTAATCGCCTCAGCTACTTGGTTGCAACGGAAATCTGCATGGTGAGAAAATGAATTTTCTCGGTCTCCTAGCGCTCTGCATTATTTTTCCATAGTTATTTTACGTCTGTTGGGCCTGCATGTCGGATAGCTTTCCTCAGTCGCCTTTTTCTCTACAGCCTGTGAAGAAGAAGCACCGGGCAAGGGTGATTGAGCACTTCATTGACGTGGCTCGGGAGTGTTTTAACATCGGCAACTTCAATTCCTTAATGGCAATCATCTGTGAGTGTTTTCGGGCAGATACATGTCCTTTTTGTTTGATTCTTTATAAATCTTTATTTTTGGAAGTATTACATATGCCCCCCTTTTCCCCCTCCATTGCCCTCTCCCACCTCCTTTATTTTTATAGGTCCTGTGAAATGTAGCCACTGAAAATTTGCAAATAATACAGTTTTGTTAATGAAAACTGTACTTTTTAATCCTGAATTGTTTCAGAGTGTTCAGAATGCTTTTAAATACCCAAATTGATACAAGTATGAATAATCTTTTAAAAGTACACTAGAATTCATGGAATATATTTGGTCACTTTATCCTCATCTGAATATTTACCTATAAAAGCTTATAAGTGAGATATTTTTCTAAATTGTGTTTAAAGAGTGGGCAGCTTTTGTATCCAGCATTATAGAAATATTTGCTCTGAGACTAAAGTATAGGATTCCATCAGCATGGACAAGAGAGTGGCTTGAGAAACTGGAACATTTTCTGAATGCCATCTCTGAGTGCTTACCAGTGCAGACCTTATAACCCTGGAATGCAGGTGTTGCTGCTCCTTTCTATCATGGGAATTTAAATGCCAGGGACCATGTGTCTTTCCATTCATCCTGTCAACATAGGGCATGGGGTTAGTTTTCCTAAATGATGCCTGTTGTCTTGCCACATTGATTGACAAGGACTTTTTCATTAAAAGTGTCCTAATTCATATAATAAATGATATGGCTGTGATATACATTGTAGGTACTCAGTAAATATTTGAATATTTACCTGACTCTTTAGAGTCAGGGTCAGTTTAAAGCCAGAGATTTATTAGGATCAAAATTCAGTAATCTCTCCTCTCACCAATTTCTCTTTCCATATCATTTCCACTTTGACTTTTCCATAAAAATACTGGCCAAGTTTCTGCTCTTTATCTGGCTCGCTCCATGAAAATAGTGAACAGAATCTATAATAATAAAAGTGTAATATGCTAATTAGACCGGACATCCTTCCGGATGAAGCCGGGGCTGCGAGGGAAGCCCAGGTCCCGGGTGCCAGAAGGAAGCCGGTGCTGGCAGCCAGGGGAAGGGAGGCCTACTCTTTTTAAAAAAATATATTTTGTTGATTTTTTACAGAGAGGAAGGGAGAGGGATACAGAGTTAGAAACATCGACAAGAGAGAAACATCGATTAGCTGCCTCCTGCACACTCCCTACTGGGTATGTGCCCGCAACCAAAGTACATGCCCTTCACTGGAATCGACCTGGGACCCCTGAGTCCGCAGGCCGACGCTGTATCCACTGGGCCAAACCAGTTAGGGCAGGAAGGCCTACTCTTGTATGAATTTCGTGCATCAGGCCTCTAGTGATATATAAATAGGTGACCTGATAGGTCCACGGTCTAGGTAATAGATGATGACTTAATTTTAAGTATATAAGAATTCATGGAATATGTTTAGTATTTATTTTTCCTCCTATACAATTAGGAAAATGTTAAGATAAGCCACATCATGGGAGAAAATATTTATCATATGTATAGTTGCAAAGAACTTGTATCTAGAATCTAAGAACCCTACAAATCAATAGTAAGTCAAATAACCCAGTAAAAACGAAGTGCAAAATATTTGAATAGACACTTCACAAAAGAAGACATACTAGTGGATAATAAGTATATGAAAAGGTGCTCCATCTACATCATTCATTATCAGAGAAATACAAATTAAAATCACAGTGAAGTACCACTTCACATACTGGAATGACTAAAGTTCAAAAGATTGGTTGCATCAAATATTGGTGAGGATGTGGAACAAGTGGAACTCGTGAAACTCTCAGACATTCTTGGTGGGAATGTAAAATGGTATTATACTTTGCAAAAACTGTTTGACAGTGTCTTATAACGTTTAACTTATACTTAGTAGTGAACACTTTTTCAGAGTATAAGTTAGAATGGCTTTTCTTATATCTCTCTTTCAACTTTCTCTCCCCCTCCCCATTTTAAATGCGAAGCTGGTATGAATATGAGCCCAGTGTCTCGACTAAAGAAAACTTGGGCCAAAGTGAAGACTGCGAAGTTTGATGTGCTTGAGGTATGTGTAGCTGATGTTTCACTCCTAAGTGACATTTTATACCTGGAGAGTGGAATTCCTCTGTGTGATCTTGCCTTCTGATCAGATAGTTCTACACAGAGGAAAACCCACCTTACAGACCCAAGGGGAGGAAAGGAAGTAGAGTTGGAGGAGGGGGATAATCAGCTTGTAGACTAGACCTTTCATAGAGAGGACTGAAGAAATGGTGACCTGTCAGTCACATTCCATTGTGTGCCAGGATGGACTCTGGATCCAAAACAGTTCGGAGTTCTACTTCAGTGTGTGTCTACTAACTTAATTTATTCACAGTGTCCCAAAGCAGGAGTTCCCTATCCCCACAGAAATACTCATTCTCCATCCTTTCAACAAATTTAGCTAACCTGTGAAGCCCTTCCCATATAGTTCTCAGGATAGTAAGACTTACTCATATCATTATTGCCTTGGCGTATTGGTGCTTTGAATGCACTATCTTTGTAGACATTTATAAAATATTTTTCCCCCAACTTGGGGTTTAACATTGGGTTTGTTACATTTTCTTTATTCATATTGTGTAATAAATACCTTCTTGTAAGGTAGTATGCCTCAATTATTTGTGAATGGTTTGTTACCTACAACAAAGCATAAGCTCATGCTGAAGCGCTGGATCGCTGTGTGATGGCTAACCATCAGCTGACACATTAACCTGCAAATGAAACTGAGGCTGGTGTTTGACCCTGTTATCAGTTTGAAGTCTAATCTCAGCAGTTCACCTGGAAAGAATTTGGTCTGGGTTTAACATTATCGAAGCTGACGTAGCGCTTGTATAAATAAACCAAACCTCAGGAAGGAAAGAAAACCTTTGTATTCTTATGTGTTTCATGCCTATGTGTGTATAAGAGAGGTAAATGACATTCTTAAGGAGTTCCCTAGTTATTTTTGATTTTTTTGTGTAGAGTTAAAAAGGATGATCTCCTAAACTTTCTGCAGGTGAGACGTAAATAGCTCACACTCTTCTCTCTCTTGCCCATAGCATCAGATGGACCCTTCCAGTAATTTCTATAATTATAGAACGGCTCTTCGTGGGGCAGCGCAAAGGTCTTTAACTGCTCACAGTAGCAGAGAGAAGGTATGTGTTTACAGGCATTCTAGTCATGGTAGAGTTGCCATGTATTGCATGTGTGAACTGTTAGGCTGAGCTGCTTTTACCTGTTCAAATCTAAGAAGGTTGATACCCTGTGGAAATTGTATTGCTTGCTGCATAGGGAAAGGGGGGCGGGGGGCTAAGGGAAAGTCAGGCTGCGGGAGGAGAAAGGGTAACTTGGTGTAGAATTTTTCAAATGTATATTACCCGTGTTATTATTGCGTTATTTAAATGATTATTTTATAATGTGTCTTAGTTGCATTTCAAGCAATACATTAAGTCATCTGTTAAGATGATTTATAGTATTAGAGAGTAATTTGATTGAATGGGAAATACATGTTTAAGCTCTGCACAAGGTAGCTAACTTACTATAACCTTTTCTTTTAAAAGAATCGGCTTACCTCCCATGGTTAAGTCATTTATTTTCAGAAAGTAGGTTAGTGGCTGTAGCATTTGGCTTGCTATTACTCATCGGATATGTGGGTGGCAGAAAAAGTACAGAATGATGTTTGAGAAATTAATTATTGTGACTGTATCTACCCTGCCCTTAAACAGTGGCATGCTATCCTATACCCTGAGGGTCCTTTCTTGGCACATTTCAGTGTTGTATTTCCTTTCCTGGGAAGGATTAGCTGGTTGGACATTTGGATATCATGTTATCTGAGGAGTAGAGACCTGCTTGTGGGAAAGGGCTGATGAAGGTTGCTTGACAAAAGTTATTTTCTGTATAGATTCTGTCTGTCTTTTAACTTAAATTATATCTTCAACTAATAGAAGAAAATAAAGGTAAAAAATACTTCAGGGCTTCCCCCCAGAAAGCTTCAGCCTCCGTGATCTAAAATAAAAACAAACGCAAAAATAACCCCTATTTTAAGAAGGCTAAATTGAGTCTCCACAAAATCTGAAATAGCAGTTCTGATCATGTTTGAGAGGTTTTATAAATGCATTAACTTTTCTTTAAATAAACAAATCAGGTCAGAGGAAGGATGAAGCAGAATTCACTTCTCTAAATTAGCCCCATGGAGTTCACCAGCTTTTCAATTTTACCTGCCCAAATCCCCGTACTCCTGTGACTAGATTGAGAAGAGAGCTAATCAGAAGTTTTCCAAGCTTTCGAAAATGGGCACGTGCATGGGAATGTCCCAGCACCCTGAAGCGTGAGGATGTGTTGGAGGCTGTCCGCAGCTTCCCACTTGCCTCTGAGCCTCTGCATATTGGACGCAGGGCTCCCTCTGCATGTCTGAGGGCTTGGTGGGCTCCACCTCAGTGAGGCAGCCACAGAATCAGTTGTCTTAGCAGGGAGCTGTGGCAGTGGCCAGAATAATTTTCATTAAATAGTGTACTTGTGAGCCTCCAATATCTTTTTCTAGGGAAAAAAACACCTCCACCAAAGTATTTACCTTTTACGTAATTTAATAAATGCTTAGTTTTGTTGTTGTTTTTTTTAAACCAGTTCTGTGTGAGCATGTGAATTGTATTCTCTAATTCATAAAACAAATGAAATCACCACCATTAAAAAGCACACACGCTGTTTCTTTCACAGTTGGTCTCAAAGGCTGTGGATATAAGCATTTCTAGATAAAATCCATCTTTTATTCAAGAGACTTGGGATTCTTTTTCTTTTTTGAAGTGAGGGTGAACTCTCATGCCATTTTAAAACCTTCCTGGCCACATGATTAGAGTACTAGAATCTTTAGTATTCTTTCAGATCTCGAGTTTATGCGGCCAAAGTGGCATATCTAACACCGCATTATAGAACAAATCAAATCTGTCTTCCACACAGGGGCCTTCAATGTCCTTCCGATTTGTTGTTGTATTTTTCCTGTGGGAACATTTGTCTTCTGGTTTTTAACCATTCTTGATTCGCTTGTATGGTTATAACTCCTTTGGTCATTCTCCTTGTGTTCCTGGGAACTTGTTCATGCTCAATGGCCTTCATTTCTAGGTGTGGAATTGATTATGCCTTTAAGGCGTAGTGGCTGGATCTCTTAATTGAGCACATTTTGAGAGGGAATTGGAAGACATTATTTTTTGAGACTTTCTCCCATGAAAGGCATCATTGGCAAAACCTCCTAGAAACCAAACTTTTGCTCACTCCTGTTAGTAACCCGTGCATTCACCTAAGCTCAGGGAAATTCAAAGGCCTTGGACTCGCCTGATTTTTCGTATGTTGGATTTAAATAGGGAAGAGAGAGCTGAAGGGAACTATCTATGAGTGAATGAGAAGTTAAAGAAGACTTTTTCTTGCAGATGGGCCTAAGGAACAGAGCAGGGAAGTATCTTGAGGAAGATTACTTATATTTCTACTAGAGGCCCAATGCATGAAATTCGTGCGGGGTGCAGGGGAAGGGGGGGGTGGTCCCTAAGCCCGGCCTGCACCCTCTCGCAGTCCTGGAGCCCTCGCTCCTTACCGCCTGCCTGCTCGCTGCTCCTTACCGCTCAGATCCCTGCTCCTCAGCGCTGCCACAGAGTCAGGAGAGGCTCCCGCTACTGCGCTTGCCAGCTGTAAACCCGGCTTCTGGCTGAGCAACGCTCCCCCTATGGGAGCACACTGACCACTAGGGGGCAGCTCCTGCATTGAGCGCCTGCCCCCTGGTAGTCAGTGTGCATCATAGCGACTGGTGGTTCTTGTTCTGCTGAAATGATCGCTTAGGCTTTTATTATATAGATTTTCTGGAAGAGTGATTCAGTCAGTAGTGGAGCATCATACGGGCACCATGAATGCAAAAACTACATAAGATATAGCCTTGGCCACCCAACAAGAGGCACATGACATGAACTTATGAAAAGTTTAACTATCACTATGAGACATAAATTATCAGCACCCCCTGGCTCTCACAGCCCAGCACTGCAGAATAGAGCACAGACATAGAGTTCTTGCTCAAAAGCGGTCACACCATGTAAATTTTGCACCTCAGTTATAATAGAGCTTCATTTCCCGGCAGCTGCCTTATGATCATGTATTCTTAGTATCTTTTAAGTGCATCAGTAATGTATCTGTCCCTTTGTATGGGGCCCATTGGTTTTTTGGGAGTGCTTCAGTGAAGTCAAACCTGTATTATTTAATTTAATCCTCACCACAACTCAAGGAGGTAGTTGCTGCTGTTTTCATTTTAAGGTGAGGACACTAGGCTTTCTTAGTATGTTAGGCTTTACCAGGGGTTGGTAAACATTTTCCATTAAGGAGCAGATTATAAATATTTTAGGGTTTGTGGGCTGTACCTTTTCTGTTGCAGCTACTCAACTCTGACATAGTAGCACAAAAGCAGGCACAGACGTGTGGATGAATGAGCGTGGCTGTTCTCCAGTAAAGCTCTATGGCTACTGTAATTGGAATTTCGTATCATTTTCATGCTCATGAAATATTATTCATTTGATATTTTTCCAGCCATTTAAAACTGTAAGCCATGCGGCTCTTAAGCTATCCCCAAACAGGTGGTGGGCTGGGGCCAGGCCACGGGCCACAGTGTGCAGACCCCTGCCTCATGTTGCCAGTAAATTGTGGAGCCAGATTTTAAACTGATGCTTGGCAGAGTCCCAAGACCAGTGCTTCCTAGTCACAAGTGGTCTTTCCAAGAAACGAGGTTCAGCTGTGCTTTTATCATTGGTACTGTGCCTGTTTAATTCTAAAATTAATAGAAACAGTAACATTTGAAAGAAGAGGAGGATCTTGAATAATTCAGTTTAAGAGATTTCCACCACAGACAATAGCAAATGATTAACAGTATATTCAAAGAGGCTGTCAGAACCGAGATTCACTTTGAAACAGTGAATTTTCAGAGATCAAGGAAAGAAAAAAATAATCAAAGTTGGGTAATGACTTTAGGGGAAAATCTGAATTTCTCTCTAGCAGTGGAAATTGATATTTAATATTTTGGGGTCTGAGCCAAAATGTATGTTTTGCAGACCTCCCATTCATTTACTATAGGTGTATCCCATGAATCATAAGCTTAGGGAAACTTAAAAAACTTGCTCTTGGGTAAACAACATAGGCCCACAATTTGTGTGTGGAGCACTATTTGCATCGTTGCAATTTTAGAATCTTTAAAATCATGTTGGCATTTGAGGGAAAGTGGAAGTTACTGTGCCTGAGCTTTGTTCTTCCTTCATTAGGGCCGTGATAGGATTTAGGGCACTCTTAGAGATGATTATTACTTTAAGTTAGTTAATTAAATACTACTCCTCAAACTAAAGATGAGAGGCAGGCAAGCCTTACTAAAAAGGCTCAGTGTTTTTAAGTAACCATTAATTTTAATGTGCACATTTATGTTCCTCCTTCACTTGGGCTCATCGCACAACATACTGTGCAAGGTTCTTCGGTGATTTCCCGTGAGAGCAGGTGCGAACTTGTTCTGTTCATTCGAAGGCCAGGTTTACTCGTAGGAAGTTTGTATTAACTAATACCAAAAACCCTGAGCACTTACATCATCTTGAGCAATGTCTTCTAGAGTAAAATGAAGTGTTCATCTGAAAAAATTCATCCAAAATGTAGAATCTAAATGATGTAACAGTTCAGATTCTAGCAGGAAGGGAGGTCATACCTCTTGAGAGCTTGGTACCTGCAATGACAGGTATTCTATTAATAATTTGCTAAATTAAACGCAAGAGTTATTGTAGATCTTTTTTTCTTGATTATAGTTAGAATGGTCAGATGTTTTTATATGCTCTTGCATTGAGAAAAATAGGAAAACTGGGGGAATAACGAAGCCATCCACTTTCCAATGCTACTCGTCTTTACTGTGGTTTGGTTATTAAGAGCATTTGTGTCTTCAGCAAAATTATGTAAGGGAGGTAGACAAAACACTGTATCGTAATTCACCCTGGCCTTTTATTTAACCCAGAGTTAATGTTGTTCATTAATTTCTTGTATTATTTGATGAGAGGCAAAAAGTTTTATTTGCCCAAAACAAACCAGAATCTCTTTTGTTTTCTTTAGATTGTGATACCATTCTTCAGTCTTTTAATCAAAGATATTTACTTTCTCAATGAGGGCTGTGCCAACCGCCTTCCAAATGGCCACGTCAACTTTGAGGTAAGTGTACAAATCTGAGCAGAGAGAGCATTGCACCTCAGGCCAGGCAACCGAAGCTGATTCTGAAGTTCTAAACATTGAATGAATGGTTACCTGTACCAGGGGTGGGTAACATTCAGCCCTCAGGCCTTATAAGACCCGAAAAATCATTTGGTCTGGCCCTACCAAGGCATTAGGGGTGAGTTAATTAAATGTTTGACCATATATAGCAGGCTGATTTTTAAGTTGATAATTTTATATGGCCCAGGAATGATGTTATACATATCCAGATGACCCTTGGCAAAAAGGAAGGTTCCCCATCCCTGAATACCTAGCAGATACCTAGACCTAATTTTTATTAAATTAAGAAAATGATGTAGTCCAGAAAATTAGAAGCCAGAGAAAAACATTAAATGGAATTGGCTCTTCGAAGCTTATACTTTGTGATGACTGCTTTTAAATTCTTTGATTCTTTTCTAGAAATTTTGGGAACTGGCCAAACAAGTGAGTGAATTCATGACGTGGAAACAAGTGGAATGTCCGTTTGAGAGGGACCGGAAGATCTTGCAGTATCTGCTCACAGCACCAGTCTTCAGTGAAGACTGTGAGTAGGCCATTCAGCTGAGCTGCCATCCATGGCCCCAGACCCTGTTGTTGGGAAATTAGTGTATAAATGCTGGTCCTTCATATAGAATGAGGCCTGTCTTCTGATCTACTCAGTCTTTAAAAGCACAGACAACCATAGTACTTATCCCTAACATATTTTCCACACACTCACTTAATATTCACCCATAAAGAGTATGTTTCTGGGTTTAAACATTCTAATATGAGATCCGCAGAGGTTTGGGCATCAATAAAGAGTTTTCAAAGGATTTTTCCCCCCTTGTTTGGGCTTGCTTCATTGGAGAAAGATGTTTTGTGATATATTGATATTCAAGTTAATTTGAGTAAACAAACAAATAGTTCATTGCTACCCCCTGCTGTTTGAAAAAGTAGTAGATAATCTTTAGGGAATTTGAGGCAGATATAAAGTGATTGATGATATACAGAAAAAAATTGGCCAAAGGAGAGCTAAGGGTTATAAAAGACTTGTGGATTTATTCTATTGATTTTTTTCGATCCTAATATTACAGAAATCAATAGCATCTATTTACTGATACTATCCTATGGTAGATGCATAGTGTTCATGATAATGCCTGAAGAACATTTTGAATGAATATTATCACTCTTGAGGGGACTTGATCATTTTAAACCTCTACATAAGATTGATAACAAGCTTTTAAATCTTTGGTTGAAAATGCTTTTCGATTTAAAAATAAATAATAAAAGTATATTAGGAGGATAGAAAATTAGCCTTGAAAATCAGGCTTATTACCCAAGTCAGCGGTTCTCAAGCTGTGGGTCACGACCCCTTTGGCGGTCGAACGACCCTTTCACAGGGGTTGCCTAAGACCATCCTGCATATCAGATATTTACATGACGATTCATAACAGTAGCAACATTACAGTTATGAAGTAGCAACGAAAATAATTTTATGGTTGGGTCACAACATGAGGAACTGTATTTAAAGGGCCAGAAGGTTGAGAACCACTGACCTAAGTGTTATTTTAAAAAGATGAAGGCTACCAGGAGTAGATCCTCCTTCCATCCCCTTTGTAAAGAACATAAATGTGAGTGTATGATAGCTCCATGGCTTGTATTTGTAAACCTATTGTTTGGCCTCATAAATTGTCTCATAGTTAAGTTCCACTTTGGCCCAGAGGCCCTTCAGTTTTTGTTGAGATGGTCAATCCGAGGCAAAGTGATGTTATGTGTTCTTAATAAAACTATGACCATTCTTAGTCACAGCTGGTGTGCTGAGGAATGTGTTTGCTAGAGCGTTTGGCTCAGGTTGAACAGGGGATGGGTGGTGGTGGATAATCTATCAGGAGAAAGATCCAGTGTTAATGCGTTCTTACTTTTGGTTGATTGTAGCTCTGTACTTGGCTTCCTATGAGAGTGAAGGACCTGAAAATCATATAGAGAAAGACAGATGGAAGTCTTTAAGGTGGGTCTCATTGCTTCTTATTGCTGCACACATTTAAAGGAGATGTTGCCTTCCCTGAAGAAAGCCACATGCTTTCTGCAGGAAGTCCCTATGTGTGTGTTCCACGTCCTGTGTGTCTTGCCTCTTATTAACTGAATTTTTGTGGCTTAAAATCCTCATTGCCATCATTCAGTCTTATGGTCTTTCTTTTTTTTTTTATATTGGCAGATATGCATGGTGTCTGTTTTTTTTTCTATCTCCCATTATTTTATGGAATGAGGAACTGAAATTACTCCTTGGTGTAGTAAAAGAACAGTGACTCATTGTCTTCGTCTGAAAGATAAGAAGTTCAGACTATATTTCTGAATAGTTCTTACACTATTTAATTAGACCTGAGATAAAAGAGACCTAAGTGCCAGTTGGTTCAGTAAATTTGAGTGGGTCATATACCGACTGGATCTTGGTCCCCACTTTGGTTTGAGAGAGAGAAAGTTGGAATTTTAAACATAACCCAGCATCTTTTCAAGTTTAAAAATTGTCTTAATCAATTAGTATTTTCAAATAAATGTAGTTTTAAACAAAACTAGGATAGGTAAATTTATATTTTAACCATTTGAGATACTTTAATAGGCAATAGCACCCTAGCTGGTTTGGCTCAGCAGATAGAGTATCAGCCTGTGTACCAAAGGTCCCGGGTTCGATTCTGGTCAAGAGCATGTACCTTGGTTGCAAGCTCCTCCCCGGGCCGGGCACTGATCAAGGCTCATTCAGGAGGCAACCAATCGATGTGTTTCTCTCACATTGATATTTCTCTCTCTGTCTTTCCCTCTCTTTTCCACTCTCCCTAAAAATCAATGAAAAAATATCCTCGGGTAAGGATTAACAACAATAAAAAAAATAGGCAATAGCATCCCAGGATATCCTATATAATAAAAGCCTAATATGCTAGGTGTCTGGTTGCCCATTCAACCAAAGTGTAATATGCTAATGATATGCTAAGGCCGCTCAACCACTCCCTATGATGTGCACTGACCACCAGGGGGCAGACGCTCCAACTGGTAGGTTAGCTTGCTGCTGGGGTCCGGCCTATCCGGACTGAGTAAGATGGGCCGGACACACCCTGGAGTCCTCCCGCAGTCCCTCCCTGGATGGCCAACCTCCTGCGTCCCTCCCCAGCTCCGATCATGCACCGGCAGGGTCCCTCGGCCTGGCCTGCACCCTCTCACAATCCGGGACCCCTCAGGGGATGTCAAAGAGCGGGTTTTGCCCCAACCCCACAGGCCAGGCTGAGGGACCCCACTGGTGCACACATTCATGCACCGAGTCTCTAGAAATAATATAATCAAAATTTCAATATTTGTTTTTCTTCTAAGACACTCTGGGAATGTGTACCTTTTTATACTAGGATTGACAAGCACATTCTCTCTTCTTCCTATAGTCATTTGCGAGCCTTCATTAAATGATGTTGGACTAGGTTTCATGAACCAGGGCAAATATCTAAGATGTATTTGGTTTTGTGCAATTTTGTTTGTTTCAGTGGACAATTTAGGCCTTCCTTGTACTTCTCACTGAGGAGGCTGAGGTACATTGGCACTGAACTTATTATACGTAGCACAAATTGGGGTGAAGGTAGAGGACTGGAGATGCTTTTATCCCCAGACACAGACATGAAGACAGTAGGGCCAACACCTGGAATCATGGGAATGTACAGCTTGCTGGGCTGATGCCTGGTTCTACTTTTATGAAGTTTTGTGCCTGTTAATGGCACATTTACTGACAATCATTTATTTCTTTATGCTGGTATTAAATATGACCTACACTCTTAAATATCATTCATGTGTAAAACATGAGCTTCGGAGTATGCATCTTGGTGGATAAAAGATTTGGGAATTCCTTTTTTAAATTATCCTTTTTAGATAAAATTTGCCTTCCATATTTCTTTTTTTAATCCTCCTTTCTGTTTTTAAAAACATTATGTTGGTACCACCCCTGAGTACAACTTAACTATTGTTACTTTTCTTATAGATTTTTAAAAAATTGTTATGTAACTGAGTTCACTATATATAAATGTTATCTGCATTACCTATGAAGTCCAGACATACTGAAATAATCCAGAGGTGCCACATACTTGCCTAGTTGTTATTCTCTTGGATTGTTATTATTTTATGCCATATTCCTATTGAGTATAGTTCATTGTGATAATTTGCAAAGTCACATATGTTAAGTGGATGCTAAGACTAAGTACTCTACCTGAAAACTTGTACTTATATTGGCTTTGAAGGCAGTAAGTTTTGTTAGTAAAACGGTTGATAGTGAAAGCTAAATATTGAATGATGTAATTTCTTCCCATATTTGTATGTACTGTACACACAGTACAGAACAACAGTTAACACTTGATTCATTGAAATGTGACCCTAAAATTTAGTAGAGAATTTGGAAATGTGAAGTGAATGAGAGGTTGCACTGTACTGGCGCAAATTCATCCACCATTGTACCCAACTCAGAAGTGCTCAGTAATAATGCTTCTGGAAGAAGTGGCACAAATAGATTGAATGGCATATGAGGGGAATACGTATATAAACCCAGTAGAGATGTATTATTGGTATAAAAGACTAGTTTTCATATTAAAATGGTTTGTAAGGAACCTTGAAGAACAAACTCTTCTTTGTGTCTGGGTTTAAGGCATGAACTCTGCCTCTTCCCCCATCCTGTCCAATTTTAATGCCCCGCTGTACGGCCTCCCACTCCCTGGCCCAGCTCTCTCCTAACCTCATGCATTCTAAGACTGTCTTCCTCTCCTGTCGACCCCGTGCTGTTTTGCAGTGCATGTCCTTCTTTTTCCTACTCAGTGAGCCCCATAAGGGCAGCGCAGGGTCTTCCCTCAGGCTGGACACCCCCGCCTGCGGGGTTGAGGACTGAGATCCGGTCCCTGCAGGTGTGGGCCAGGCACAGCACCCACAGAGAGGATAAAGAAAAGAAAGTAGGTTGTGATCTTTTGCAAAGCCACATATGTTAAGTGGATACTAAGACTAATTACTCACCTGAAAGCTTGTATTTACGTTGGCTTTGAAGGCAGTAAGATATTTTTAAATAGACACCTTTCCTGCTGGCCTGAGAGCCATTCACTCAGATACTTAAGTTTAGCAGTGACAGTGACAAACACACCTCTGAGGGCAAACACATTTCTTGTCACTTGCCATTTAGAAGCCTGGTGGGCATGGAATGTGAGGATGTTTATGTTTCCTAAATTAACCCATTGGTGATAAGACCAGTACATATCTAAAAGCTTTTTATCATTAATGACTTTTTGTTGTTGTTGTTAATATATTTTTATTGATTTCAGAGAGGAAGGGAGAGGGAAAGAGAGATAGAAACATCAATGATGAGAGAGAATCATTGATTGGCTGTCTCCTGCACACCCCACACTGGGGATCGAGCCCACAATCCGGGCATGTGCCCTGACTGGGAATCGAACCATGACTTCCTGGTTCATAGGTCAACACTCAACCAGTGAGCCAACCTGGCTGAGTTTTATTGTTGTTTTAATATAAAGCCACTGAAGAGATAGACTTATCTATAAACAAAGTTTTTGCCATATCCATGAATATATATTTATTTTAAGTGACTAGCAGTTCTCCCCAAAAAATAGGACAACATAATATTTTTTCTTCCTTTTTAAAAATATGTAAAAAAAAACCAACAAAAAACAACAAACTTAAAACACAGGAAAAATGCAACTAGTGTTAGGCAAGGCGTTTTAATCCTGTTTCAAATAACCCTGACACATTTGTTCTTATATTGTCTTCTTTATTCCTCAGGTCGAGCCTTCTAGGCAGAGTTTAACAAACGGGATGCTGGCTGCCGCTGCGTCACGCCGTCATTGAGGGGCTGGCCTTGGTTGTTGGGCACCTGGGACTGCGAACAGTCAGGAAGTCCCCGCAAGCCTTGATTTGTAAGGGACCTTGAAGAACAGACTCTGGAGAGCAGACGGGGAACTCGTTCCCCACAGCTGACAGACTGACTCGGATCTTGTGAGACTGAAATGTGCACTGAAGACACTCGAGAAAGAATCCTCTGAAGATCCCAGCTCTGCACATGACTCATCTCCTGGAATTTCCATGTGACTCACAGCTCTGCACCTGGATGGAGCTTTCTTTTGTGTGTGTTTTTATTATTGGTTGAACATTTGCTGCTAATGGGACTTGTCCAGCTGAGCGCTGGCTCGTAGGAAGCCCATGTTTCTTTGTTAACTTAAATGGAGGAGGGAGAGGAAAAATCCCTCCCATTCGATCGCAAACTTCAGCTCGGTGAATGGCCAGGAGAGGAAGACTGGTTGAAAGCTGGCTGTGGACTTCGTTTCCCTTAGTGTGTGCTGTGTTGTGAATTCCTCTCCTCCCTCTTCCCACAAAGTTTTGAGTTGGCTGCTGGTTAGCAAACTCCTTTTTACCCACATAAGTTATTTAATATAATAATGAAGCTCAACACTGTGGTAGGAAAATAGCCACTAGGAAAAAGAAAAAGCAGAGTTTGTCATTGGATTGCTTCATGTTCTAGAAAGCGTTTTTGTTTCCTTTACCCCTCTGAGCTGTTTACAGCTGACCACTGTGTTGCACAGATGTATTTTTCAGTAGTTTTTTTGTTACTTAGTTTTCCATGACTCATATTTTTTTTTTCTCTTGTATATTTAAATTATCTGACTTTAAGGGTCTTGGAAAAACCCAGGCCTAATTACAACTTAATTTTTTTTTTTTTTAACAGACAGTTATTTTTCATTGCCTTTTGGAGGCTGTCGGTGACTAAACATGTGAACAAAGAATAAGTTGGAAAGGTTACCACCCCCATGCCACCCCCGCCCCCACTACAGCCGTGCACAAAGCAAATGAAAAACATCTTGCTGTTAACTCAAAGGTCAACCTAACTGTGAAAATCGTTCACCTTGTTAAACATCTCAGTAAGTCTGTAGTTGCTCTGCAAAAAGGCATTGTACTTATTTACTCTAGGGGAAGCTGTAGGGTAGTAAACCGTGCTAATGAACAAAACAAAACATCGTGCTCAAAACAGAGATGTATTTGAAAATCTTAATGACGTGGTTTCAGAAAACAGCATGTGTGTGTGCTGCACGCCATCCCAGCAGACCTGCCATGTCTCCAAGTTCTCCCTTTAGCATCATCAATATAGTTCATACTCTGCAGCTGGACTGGTGGCGTCTTTTCTTCTATGGGTGGGTGGTTGGGTGGGGGTGGGCTGTCATTGCAGAAGTGCAGCTCAAATGACCATCTAGAAGTGTGTGTGTCCTTAGGAAGTGGCCTTTGGGGGTTTGTATGTGGACACTGAATTGATGAAAATGAATCATAGTTAGCATTTAATAATCCTTACTTTGAGCTGAGGCGCGAGCACTACGTGTTTAGCATAGATCATCATCCCCACTTCTTAGGTGCGGAAACAGCCATATTAATAATAGTGATTTGTTCAAGGCCACAAAGCTAATGAGAAGCCCAGTGACTTAAACTAAGCCTTCTAATTCCAGAGCCAAGCTTTCCACCCACCACCAAGCCTTCCCAAACCTCAGCATAACCTTCAAACTTGCAGATAACCTGTGAATCTTCTGGAGTGGGGCCCCGGGGGTGCTGATGCTGCCGGTCCTGGAATCAGCTTAGAGTAGCAAGACACCCCCAAAAGCTGCCTCCTTTCCCGCTGCATTGCTTGTCCCTGAACTTTGTGGCCCTGTAGTTGTTGTCATGACAGCAGTGATGTTTAACTTGCAACCATCTACGTCAGGAGTCAGCAAGCAGTGGGCTACTGGCCAAATCTGCCCCGTTCCTACAGCCCACAAGGTAACAGTGGTTGGGAAAAAAAAGAGAAATAATACTGCATAATACATGAAAATTACATGGAACTCAAATTTCAGTGTCCATAAATAAAGTTTTATTGGAACACCGCCACACTCATTTGTTTATGCATTTTTCTTGTGGCTGCTTTTGGCTACAGAGCCTTGTAGTTGCAACAGAGACTGGATGGCCAGTCCTCAAAGCCTCAAATATTTGCTCTCTGACACTTTAAAGAAAGTTTGCTGACTCCTGATCTAAGTGGTTCTTTGGAGCATTACAATGAGTTTGCAAAAATGCCATCAGCTCTCTATTATAACATTAGATATATAAATGTGGCTACTGAAAAAATTTTCCTAAAGTACTATTAGGCCTAAAACGTGATTCTGAGGCCATTTAATCAATGAGTTTCACAGAATTCCCATTCTCACACATAGCCTCTTGTGGTTTTTTTGTTTTGTTTTAAATATATTTTTTATTGATTTCAGAGAGGAAGGGAAAAGGAGGGAGAGAGAGAGAAACATCAATGATGAGAGAGAATAATTGATCAGCCACCTCCCACATGCCCCCACGGTTACACATAAAGCCCACAACTCGGGTATGTGCCCTGATCATGAATTGAACCTGGACTTCCTGGTTCATAGGTCGATGCTCAACAACTGAGCCACACCAGCTCTTGTTTTAATGTCCGAATAAGCCAGAAATTTAGACCATGCATTAACTTGTCTGTGGAAATCAATTACTCTCCTCCTCTTAGTGCTACGTGTGGATTTGGACTCCCAGCGGGTAACTGGTGCATTTATAATTCGTGTAGCTGGCTGGAAGCCTGAGTAAACACGGCATGAGCGGCAGCAGGCGGTGTCAGTCGGAGACTCCCATTCAGGATGTGTCCTGTCCCGGCACGCCAGGCTTTGCTAAGCAGCAGGCTTTGAGCTGAGGCCCGAGGGAGCCTCAGAACATGCTGGGTTCAGTAGAGCAGTGAGAGTACAGTTTTCACTCTTTGAAGTGCCCCTTGTTTTTCAGGACACGGGTTCCCCAGGGGTGGCCTTTCATCGAACAAAGAACAAAGACAGTCATCAGAAATGGGTGGTCTTGCCTGGGTCTTTGAAGGTTTTCAGCTTTGCCTCTCACCTGGCCTGGCACTGGCACCCCTGTCCATCTCCTCACTTCTCTGTACTCCTAGCTCACGTTTACATCTTAAACTGCTGTCCATATGCCTCTGTGCTTAGAATCCCAAGAAAGCACAGCTCCCATCAGAAGCTGAGTTGCTGAACTCTGTAGGAATGCTGAACTGTAGATTGTTGACATTCTCTACCTTCTGCTTGGGTGCATTTTGTTTATCCCATGGCCTCTCTCAGCAAAAGACAGTGCCTACATCGATTCCCAACATCTTACTATTCTGATGGAGAAGAAACACTGGAATAGAAAGCAGGGTGAGGCTAACTTTCTTTTGGAGCTAAGGGTTCAAAGAGATTCCTAGATTGGGTTTCTAGGGAAGATAAATGTGGTTAGGGATCTGGAAACTACTAACCAAATGTATAAATCTTGAATATATTCTGATGGCAATGCTATTAACCTTACCTTAAGGCATTTTAAAAGGCAGGACTTCTGTCAAACTTGGGCTTTTTGAGGTTTAATAGTAAATGAGCACTTTTCTAAGGGGGCTACTTTCTCGATGATTCAAGCCAAAGTCTTGTTTGCTGACTACAAATGATCAGATAATTGCCTCAAGTCCCTGCTTCATGAAATCAAGATCACATGACTGTTCAATGCTGCAAAAGAGAAGTTGGGGTTTGTGGCTTATGTATCCAAACCTTATAGATTAAGGACCGTCATTGAAAACTAGCACATAAGGCTGGCTCCATGCACGGAAGACCACTGCCTTAATTCTGTGATAAGAATCCACTCCTTTTAAAGGATGCTTTTTTTTTTTTTTAATTAATGCAATGAGGAAATTCCCAGATAGCCAATTCCTTTTTGAGTGCTGGCAGCCTTCCACAAACTTAAATCCCATTTTGCCAACCTGGAACCCTGCTTCCTTTCTCCAAGCGTCCATCTAATAAGAGAGGAAACATCCCAATGTGTGTGAGTGTTGAACAGTATGAGGCAGCTGTCGTAGAATATTGTTAACAGACTTAAAGTTCAATGTGCACATAAGCCAACATTTTAGGACTTCTAAAAAAATGATTTGTAGAGATCATAATGTCGGGAACTAAAGAGGAAGAAGGGGCTGATATTTCTCAGAATAAACAAGAGAATTCAGTAGGTATTCCTTGAAGGGTGCCAAACCAATGGCTTTTCTACTGTGAAACAAAATTTGCTTTCTTTCCCTCCTCCCACCCACGCTGCCTGGAGAAAATGCAAGTTACAGTGAAATCATCTTTCTCTGGGTGAATCATCGTGGGAAAGTAAGTTCAGCAGAATGTGTTGTCAATTTGGTTGAGACCTCGCAGTGTGGGGGCCCGTGGGCAGTGTTAACTTTTTCACAATGCAATTATGAGTCCTCCTAAGTGCAAGTGAGCCATGAGGGGAGTGAATGAGTGCTCACTAAGTATATATTGAATCCATGAGCCTGTCTGTTATCAGCCTGGTTATTGGAGATACACAGGGTTTTGGTTTATTTAGATTGAATAAATATCAAATGTTCTCCAAATATGTCTGGATTTTGGAAATTAGTATAAATTTAAGTGATTCTGATCCATTTTTATGGTTGGCACTATCCCCACAGATCAGCAAAGGAAAGCTAAGTCTCTGGTTTTATATTGTTATTAATTAGGTTGGTTACACTCCCAATAATTATTAGTATGTATTGGTGCTTTTTGTTACATGTTTATTAGTACTGATAATCATGACAAGAAATCTATCTTCTAAGATAATATAAAAATCCATCATTTTTTTTAAAAAAACTGAGACCAATATTGTTTACGGTCATGGGATAAGTCTAAAATACACCCTATGAGATTACTAGATGTGGAATGAGAACTAAGGGCTAGACCTCACTCCCCCCAGATTTCTGAGGCTTTGGGGCCACATCCCCACCTTTTTCACCTGTGTCCTCATCCATAAGTAATGGGTCTGGACTAAGTGATGTGGAATGCCCGTCTAAGTGTCTGTGGTTTGGGAAAGCACTTTCTCAGTTTGCTGGACTGGAAGGTGAATTAGCAAGTAAATACAGCATCCTGCATTTGTGCTCCCAACCTGTTCTTCTTCCTGCCTGGCTCTTTTGTGTTTAGTTTCATGGTGTTTGAAGAGGGAAGGGGTAAGAGCCTAATTGCTACTAGATAGGAGATAAAGGAATGATGAAGGCTCATAACTCACCCCTCCAGTTGCACCCCATGCCACCTAACAGGATAGAGTTCTTCTTTTGTTTGTTCATTTAAAATATGATTTTTATTGATTTCAGAGAGGGGGAGGGAGGGGGAGAGAGAAATAGAAACATTGATGAGAGAAACATCAATCACCTGCCTCCTGCATGCCCCCTACTGGGGATTGAGCACGAAAACTGAGCATGTGCCCTGGCAGGGAATTGAACTGGTTACCTCCTGGTGCATGGGACAACACTCAACCCACTAAGCTACACCGGCTGGCTTCATTTGTTTCATTTTGAACGGACCCTGAACTCATGCCTATCAATGGTCAGGCCAATGCACATTGCTTTTTCCTTTGCCAAGGAGCAGGTAAACGTTACTGTCAATTTCATTTTGTTTATGTTGTTATTTATGTTGTTATTTATAAGATGTTTTAGGGATTAAAAGAAAGTTTTGAAAAAAATATAGCTGGAAATCATATAGCTCAACTCTGAATTGCATTTCTGGCAGACAAATTATTTCTTGGCTATAAAAGTAGTCCAACCACTTTTTTGCTCCTTAAAGCTGATCTTGAGAAGGAAACAGTGACTTTCATTGATCTCTGGCGTGGAATACTGCAGATGACCTGGTTCAACAGCACAAATAAAAACCAGTAAAGATTGATTTGACAGCCTAGAGATGGATCACCTTGGAATGGATGGGTCAAGAATCTGACTGGATGATAATCCTCCAGCTCCTTTCAATATTTTCCTCATTATAGAGTCAGTAAGATTTTAATCTAGAACCACCAAATGGAAGTATTCAATCAGAGTAATCATACACAGAGAAAAGCAACATCAACTGAAAAGCAAATATATACAGTATTAAAAACAGAGATGGCACCTAGGTTCTTTTAGCAACATCTTTTGTCTCAGAATTTCTATAGAGTTAAAAATCTATTTTTACATGCAACTTTATATTAAACAGACAAAATGATCTACAAAGGAGCAAATAGTGTATTTGTGGAATAAAAGAAATGTAGTGGAAAAGCAATATCACTAGGCTAGTCTCAATTTGTGGACATTGGTGAGTCATTTACTAGTATGTCTCTGGAGTTCAGTTCTCTCTTTGGTAAAATGGGAGACAGTGAAGCTTAGTTTCCACAGATATTGTGACAATCCAGTGAGGTCGTGCAAGTGAACATGTTCCTGTAAAGCATAAAATGCAGTTGGATATTTGTCATTTTGCAGTGATTCTAGGGCCAATGATTTCATTTTTATGGTTTAATTTATCTTATTGTTGAAAGTATTACAGACATCCCCCATTGACCCCTCCACCACACACCTGCCCTCACACCCTCAGGCCTTCACCACACTATTGTCTGTGTGCTCATAGGTTATACATATATGCATATAAGTTTTTTGGTTGATCTCTTTCCAACCCTCACCCCCACCCCACCTTCCGTCTGATATTCATCCGTCTGTTCCATGCTTCTGTGTCTCTGTATCTATTTTGTTCATCAGTTTATTTTTTTCATTAGATTCCACATATGAGTGAGATCATGTGGTAGAGTTCTTTATAGCAACCAATAATTTCTACCCAGACAAAACCCAGAAAACACCTCTTGTGTAAGGCCAGTTGTTCACGATTTCAAAGGGGCTAGATTAAGAAAGCATAGTTTCCAAAGACTACAAAGATAACTTTGGTGCGCAGATAAAAGATTTTATCTTTTACATAGATAAAATCACATATAAAGTGCCAGTTCATACCTACTCATTGATAAAGGAGTCAATATTTGGCTTCAAAGACCAAGACTCAGACAAGTGATGATTAGAATCCCTATCTGCCTTTTATCAATTTTCATCCCTTGAACCGGAGCAAAGACCTCCTCTGAAGGCTACCCAGACAGTGGTCAGCTACTTTATTTGACACACCTGTTAGAGGAAGCCTTGAAAGTGCATGCTCTATCCCGGGGAGCGACCCATATGCTCCCTGATCCAGGAAGATCTCTGCAAAAGAGAGAAGATCGAAAGGAAGGAAAAGACCAAGGAACTCAGAAGAGAAGAAAAATGTAGAGGGGTGTGTAAACAAAGCTTCTGCCAAACAGGAGAGTTTCAGAAGAGGTGTGACATTAGCAGTGTCAGAGCTTCTGAAATACTCAAACTCATTTTGAATCTAATAAGACCACAGTAAAGCTAGGAAATACCTTCTCTTGGGAAATTACAAATAGTTAGTAGGTAAGTGAGGTAAGTGAATACAACTAGAAAACGAGGAGAATTCTTTTCGGTGACAGTAACTTACTGAACTAACTCCATATAAATAAATTGTATAAAACTCTGGAAAGTAGGCTTCACCAGCCCCTCTCTACCTATCAAAACAAACAAGGCCGTGGTGCAGGGCATTGAGGAGCTGGCTGGAGTGCTCACTCTGCCAGCCAGTTCAGAATGAGACAAAAAATAAGGATAACCCAAAGGGTTCTTAGGTGCCCCCCAAAAGACTCAAGAATTGTAAAATGCTTTCCTTTCTTTTTTTAAAAAAATATATTTTATTGATTTTTTACAGAGAGGAAGAGAGAGGGAGAATTAGAAACATCGATCAGCTGCCTCCTGCACACCTTCTACTGGGGATGTGCCTGCAAACAAGGTACATGCCCTTGACCGGAATCGAACCTGGGACCTTTCCGTCCGCAGGCCGATGCTCTATCCACTGAGCCAAACCGGTTAGGGCATGCTTTCTTTTCTTTCAGGTATTCTCTTGGCTTAGAGATAAATGCAGCCTTGCTGTGATGACCAGGAACAAAACAGAGAGGAGGTGAGGCTACAGGGCTATTACTAAAAACTTTTACTAATAGAATTTCCTGTGTTCAGAGAGTTCAGAATATGGTGCGAACTGTTTTTAGTCTTTCTTTCTTGAGTTATTTTTTCAGCCCATACTCTGTCAAGACGGAACAGCCCTGAAGGGAATTTTACGCTGCCCTCATCCAGGTGTAGGCTGTTGTGCCTTTAATTCCTAGACACTTTCTCCTTCATTAACCTATTGGTTCTAGCAGCGATGGAAAGAATGAAGGAAGATAGTTCTGTTACTGCTAAGATCGGCTATCTCTTTCCGCACAATTCCCAGGTGCCATTGTGTCTAGAGTGCTTCTCTTTTTTTGCCTTAATGAAGAGTTCTATCAATTATCCTTGCTTGGAGCAGGTTTGAGCCCCAGGAGTTGGGTGGTCACCTGCCCCACCCACACCTGCAGAAGATTGGGGGATGAAGAGCAGAAACGCAGCTCTGCCAGTAACAGACAGCACTGTTCCCAGGACAGGGGTAAGTTCCCAGCTCCCATCCCACTGCCTCACCGTGTGCTGTACCCTCACTTCTCTCTCCAAATCAAAACATCCGTTTCTTCAGGGTCTCTTGACCTTAGCTAGCAAGTCAAAGGTTATAATTTGTTCATTAATTTGTGCTATTATGTGACTGACTGAGAATTATTTCATGCTAGCTTTCTAGGGCATAGAATATAGTGAAATTTAAAAATTTAGGCAGCAAGAGAAGACATGTGGTGAAGGAGACCTTGTAAAGCCATAAAATATAAGAACTTTAAAGGTATAACCAAGTGATTGATTCATTTAGCCATCAAACTGGTTGGTGACTGGCCTGGGATGAGAGCCACAATCTAGGGTTGTTCCCTTGCGCCAAGCAGATTCCCTCCAAAACAGGCCAGTCTGCCTGGGACTCTGCCCAGGTTCATACCCTTCGGTTATTGGTGGTGTTTGAAGCCATTCCAGGACTTTTGAATTCACCAATTCTTTAATTGTCAAGGAGAAGGAGAAGGAAAAAGGAGGAGGAGGAGGAGGAGGAGGAGGAGGAGGAGGAGGAGGAGGAGGAGGAGGAGGAGGAGGGGAGGAGGAGAAGGAGAAGGAGAAGGAGAAGGAGAAGGAGAAGGAGAAGGAGAAGGAGAAGGAGAAGGAGAAGAAGGAGAAGGAGAAGGAGAAGGAGAAGGAGAAGGAGAAGGAGAAGGAGAAGGAGAAGGAGAAGGAGAAGGAGAAGGAAGAAGGAGATTTACTGAGACCTACATAGCTGCACACCATGCAGGATGCCACGCTCCTGAGATGTGAATAAGACCCAGCACCCACATGAAGGAGCTCGCCTTCTGAGGAAATCACCCTCATGGAGCAACAGGTGTTGGCAGTAGGTCTCTCCTTGGTGCTCCCATTAAATCCTCTATTCTTAGCTAATCAGCTTGGGAGATCAGAGAGCTTTTCCTTGTAGATGGAAACCTGAGATGTTTTGAATGTTTGCCTGGGGAACTCCTTTGCGTGTGGGTACAGGGCCAGGCAGCCATACGTGGATGTGTCATCTTATCCTGCCCGGGGCAAGGAAGGTGGCTGGGGCCTGAAATCCACCCAGCCCTCACTCGTGTTTCTTATGGCTGAGTTAGGGTTTAAGCTGAGGCTTGAGAGGTAGTCAGCATCCTGATAGGGAAAAGAATTGGGCTCTGTGCTGAAAAATAGCACTGTATGCTACGGGTCTATGGAGCCACTGATGGTGAGGTGCCAAGACAGGGTGCGTTCTAGCAAGATCACACTGGCCGCTCAGTAGAGGATGAATTGGCATGGGGGTGGCTTGGGGGGAGGTGATGATCCTGATGATCACTTAGAGCAGCGATTCTCAACCTGTGGGCCGCGACCCCTTTGGGGGTCGAACGACCCTTTCTTTTTTTTTTTTTATTCTAAGTGTACTAACCCCATTAACATAGTGTTCTGAGCTCTATAAGTTTGAATTCTTAAGGATTATAACTCTTTTCCTTTAGAAAATCCGTCTAATTGACTGGAATTAAAAATGTAAACAGTATACTCATCATTTCACAGCTGTTTGAACAACTGGGAGAAGGACCCTTTCTGATGGTCGCCTAAGACCATCAGAAAACATATATAATTACATATTGTTTTTGTGATTAATCACTATGCTTTAATTATGTTCAATTTGTAACAATGAAAATACATCCTGCATATCAGATATTTACATTACGATTCATAACAGTAGCAAAATTACAGTTATGAAGTAGCAACAAAAATAATTTTATGGTTGGGGGTCACCACAACATGAGGAACTGTATTAAAGGGTCTCGGCATTAGGAAGGTTGTGAACCACTGACTTAGAGGAAATGGGTAGGAGATCCTTGTCTTAGACAAGATGATAGATCAGGAGGACCTCAGCCAAAACAGAGGATGGAGAGGAGGACGTACATTTATCAAGTGTTAAGAAGACAGGGATGAGAGCCCAGGGTGGAGGTGGTTGAGGGTGTAGACACCCTGGAGAATGAAGAGCAACTGAGGCTGGGGGGTAGCAGTTTTAAGTAGGTCTGTGTTATGGGCTGAACTGTTCCCTTCAAAAAGATATGTGGGAGTTCTGACTCCAGCACCTCAGAATGCAACCTTATTTGGAGAGAAGGTCTTTACAGAGATAACTAAGTTAAAGTGATGTTATTAGCATGGG